AAAGAAAAATGGGGTTGGCCTTATGTTAGATCAACATGGGCTGCGGGAATGAGTACCACACAACTTAGTGAATCTTTTAATGCTTTTTTGAAAGATTACATTTGTTCTGATTTTAACTTAAATGAATTCTTCATGCATTTCAAAATTGTACTTTATGAGAAGCGATACAAGGAGTTAGAAGCAGGATATGCTTTGTGCCAAAGGTTGCCAAAGGTGAAAGCAACAATAAGAATGTTAATTCAAATGGGTAATGTCTACACAAAAAAGATCTTTGAGGAATTTCAAAATGAGTACTTTCAATCCGTTGAATCAGACATAGAAGCAATTGAATATGGCGAGGCTAGTACCATTTACACAGTTGTTAATGTTGGTAACAAACATGGAAGGAAAGTGAAGATGGAGAGGGATGGCTTTTTGGGTTGTAATTGTACAAAGTTTGAAAGGGAAGGAATCATGTGTTGTCACTCATTGAAGGTTATTAAAGACATATTGAAGATGGAAGAGGTTCCTCCACAATACATTCTAAAGAGGTGGACCAAACAAGCAAGAGCCAAAACTATAATGGGCGTTAAGGGGAATGACATTCAAGTAGATGTGAAATTCCAACAAGCCTCGCGGTATAAGACATTGATGACCGCATTTAGAGCAGTAGCAAGTAGAGCTGCTGAAAATGAAGAAACTTATGATTTTTGTATTGCACACCTTGCTACATTAGGTGCAAATGTTGAAGGCAAGTTAAGTGCTCATTTTGGTGTTGGAAATGAAGTAGGTAATGATGATGACACCCAAAGCTTTGAAGTGGATTGCGAAGATGTGAATCATGTTGTGCAACCAAAAGGATTGAAGAAAAAAGTGGCAACTAGTAAGGGCAAAAGGAGGGTCAAAGGTGGATTCGAAGCGGCGTTGGTAGCGAACTCCAAAAAAAAATCCCGTGCTAACAGCTTAGCTTCGTCACAATCTATTGCAAATTCAACAGTTGCACCTTCTCCATTATCTGTTGGAGGAGATATATATGTTCGTCAACATGTTCCTCCTCTTCAACCTCTTCCTCTCCTTCATCCTCTTCCTCCATCTTTGTCCATGGGTGGTAATTATATTCCTCCGCCATTGATGTATCCCACATATCATGTAAGTGTTACTTTAACATTGTATTTTTTGTGTGTATATAATATGTGACTCAAACCATGACTGAAACCATAATTGCGACGCCTAATATATGACATTGTTGCAGACGAACAATTTGCGGGAGATATATGTGGTGCCAAATTATTTGCCAACTTCAATGCCTCAACGGCATTCTGCTCAACCAACATTCCAGTCACTACTACAAGGTTCATGTGGATATGACATTGCGTTTCGATATTCTCAAGAATCAACTACTCCAATGTGCAGTCAGGTTCGTCCTTGATGTATTTTTAATTTATAGTTACTGAAAATTCTGGGTTTTTAGTTGATGAAAATTCTGTGATATCATGTATTTACTTGCTAAAAATTCTGTCTTTTTTTTAGGCTATGGACAAGCAGAAACAGAAGCAAACTGAAGCTGAAATTGGGCTGCAAAGTGAAGTCATGGCCTCTGAAATTGCGACGCAAACTGTTTCAAATGTTAAATTATATGGACCAATGTGTTAAATTACATGGACCAATGTGTCAATTTTGATGGACCAATGTTTTAATTTAGATGTTAAACTTGTATTGGTTGATGTTCAGTTACAGTTGATTTTAATTTATATGTTAAACCCAAGTGAGCTGGTTGTGGTTCATGTTCATTTAACTTGGTTGATGTTGGTTTATGTTCATTTATGTCTGCAATGGTTATGGTATGCTGGTTGATGTTCATTTAACTTGGTTGATGTTGGTTGATGTTCATTTATGTTGGTTATGGTTCACGTTCATTTAACTTGGTTTTGGTATTATGGGTATCAAGAAATGGTTAACAGTTTTGAATTGCAGATTCAGGACCCTTGAACACTGTTATGCAAATTCTGTTTTGAATTGCAGATTCTGTTTTGAACACTGTTATGCAGATTCTGTTTTGAACACTGTATGCTGGTTCTGGTATGCTGGTTTTTGTACATTTGATCTGGTTTTTGTAAATTCATATGTTGTACACATGATTCTGTTTTTGTAAATTCATTTGATATGGTTTTTGTAAATTCATTATGCTGGTATGCATCTCGTATGCTGGTTCATATGCTGGTAAATGAATTATGTTGGTTCATATGCTGGTAAATGAATTCTGCTGGTAAATGCATCTGGTATGCTAGTTCACATTTGGTGAATTCTGCTGGTTCATATTCTGGTAAATGAATTCTGCTGGTAAATGCATCTGGTATGCTAGTTCACATTTGGTGAATTCTGCTGGTTCATATTCTGGTAAATGAATTCTGCTGGTAAATGCATCTGGTATGCTAGTTCACATTTGGTGAATTCTGCTGGTTCATATTCTGGTAAATGAATTCTGCTGGTAAATGCATCTGGTATGCTAGTTCACATTTGGTGAATTCTGCTGGTTCATATTCTGGTAAATGAATTCTGCTGGTAAATGCATCTGGTATGCTAGTTCACATTTGGTGAATTCTGCTGGTTCATATTCTGGTAAATGAATTCTGCTGGTAAATGCATCTGGTATGCTAGTTCACATTTGGTGAATTCTGCTGGTTCATATTCTGGTAAATGAATTCTGCTGGTAAATGCATCTGGTATGCTAGTTCACATTTGGTGAATTCTGCTGGTTCATATTCTGGTAAATGAATTCTGCTGGTAAATGCATCTGGTATGCTAGTTCACATTTGGTGAATTCTGCTGGTTCATATTCTGGTAAATGAATTCTGCTGGTAAATGCATCTGGTATGCTAGTTCACATTTGGTGAATTCTGCTGGTTCATATTCTGGTAAATGAATTCTGCTGGTAAATGCATCTGGTATGCTAGTTCACATTTGGTGAATTCTGCTGGTTCATATTCTGGTAAATGAATTCTGCTGGTAAATGCATCTGGTATGCTAGTTCACATTTGGTGAATTCTGCTGGTTCATATTCTGGTAAATGAATTCTGCTGGTAAATGCATCTGGTATGCTAGTTCACATTTGGTGAATTCTGCTGGTTCATATTCTGGTAAATGAATTCTGCTGGTATGCATCTGGTATGCTGGTTCATCTAGTAAATTCATACCAGAAGCTGGTAAATGAATTCTGCTGGTATGCATCTACTAAATTCATAAACTAGAAGCTGGTAAATGAATTTTGCTGGTAAATGAATTCTATGTTCTATTACTAAGTTATATGAACATGAACCACGACCAACATACATGCAGTTTAAGCCTACAGGACAATAAACCATAACTTTTGTAAAAACCATCTCACAGATTGTCCTCTAAATTAAAACATTCCCAAGTTCATTAAATCCAACTCATTCCCAAGTTCATTAAATCCACTAGGACATATAATAAGAAATCTGAGTACAAACTAGAGGACAAAGAACCATCTAAAAACTAGCAGAATGTTTTAATTAATAAACATTTGGAATTCATAAACTAGAGGACAATATTGGGAATCATTCCCAAGTTCATAAATCTAAGTATAAAAAATTTGGAATTCATAAAGTAGAGGACAATAAACCATTTAAAAACCATCTCAAATCATTCCCAAGTTCCCAAATTCCATTCATAAAAACATCATAAAGTACAAACATCATAAATCCATAATAACATTAGTCAAATTTTTCGGATACTAACATTACATCATAAAGTACAAAAGTATAGAAAATACAATCAAATACACCATCGCCTTCAAAATATTTTCCACCC